TAAGAGCTTGCCTGCCAAGCACAAGGTCCTGAGTTCAGTCACCGGTACAACCACCAAAAAAATAATAATAATAAATTTTTTTTTAAATTCTCTTGGATATATACCTAGAAGTGGGTTGCTGGGTCACGTAACTCAAATGTTTAACTTTTTGAGGCACTGCAAAACTTCTAAAGAGGCTGTGCCATTTTACATACCTACTATGAGGGTTTCAGTGTTGTCCACATTTATATTATTGGTCTTAAGCCCCTTTCTATCATGATTTTGAACGGAGCAACTGTTTTACCATTTTCATTAAAGGCTATGAAAATATCCAGAGAAATACATATGCAGTAATATATATTTTTTTTGGGGGGGGCAGAACCAGGGATTGAACTCAGGCCCTTAGCGCTTGCCAGGGAAGCACTTATTCCACTGAGCCATCTCCCTGGCCCCTATGCAGTAATATTTGTCTTACTAAAAAATTAAAAAAAAAATAAAAGAATGGGCAAGAGGCAGTGACCAAGGGTGCTAAGATTCGACCAGTGTCAGGCCACACAGTGGACTGCTAATCAGTCTCACAGGGGAGGGAAGGGGCCCCACCCCAGTGCTGGCTACTTTAAGTCCCTCATTACATTGCTCAAACTTCTAGACTTCAGTGGTCCTCCTGCCTCAGCCTCCTGAGTAGCTGGGATCCCAAGGACACAGATATTTTTGACCTTTGTGACTACAGTATTATGCTACTAGCATTTATCAGCAGAGACAGGGATACTACAGCAGCCCGTGATGCACATGTCAGCCCTCTGAGAAGGAAGTGTCTAATTCAAAGCATCAGTAGTGTCCAGAGGCGGCAGCTTGGGTTACACGGTCTCATCACTGACCTGATCACTGCAGAAGCAGGTAACTCACGATCTGGCAGCATAATTCAAACAGGACTACTTACATCTCCTTTCGGTTGTCAGGTAAAGTGCAGAGTTCATCTGCTGATCAAACTCAGCTTTTTGTCTCAGAGGTGACGATTTTTTTTGAGACCAGCAAATATTTCATGTTCCTTTAAAAAGCATAGCCCTAGATACAGACTCTGTAGCAAGGGAAACCAAGGTGTCTCCTACGTTTTGGTTGGTCAGGGTGGGCCTGGAACTGTGTGACAGGTGACTCATCTGTGCAGCTCACCCGGCAGTGCCCTTGCCAGGCTGCTCAAGGTTCTTCAAGGGCTCTGGTCACCGTGAGCCTTTGCTGCCTGCAACTGACCAACACCCAAGAGACCAAACAAATTTAAGGGGAAGCAACATCAATGAGGATGTAATTTTATAATTTTACATTACATCACATGCAGAATGACTACTGGACGGAAGTCAACAGTCTGTACTTGACCTCTGGGTGCGGTGGTGGCTGGAGCCAAGAGGCTGACACAGGCCAGGCAGACGCAAGCCACTGGGCCAGGCGCCAGAGAGAACTGAGAGAAGGCACTCATGTCCTCGTCTGCATCAGTTCTTCACACATCCACCGCCCAACAGAGACGCATGTTTACAACAGACTAGCACAGTTATAATTTTTTTTCCTGAAGTTTCTAGACTCTGAAATAATCTGGAAGAAAGGCACTGCTGGTTTAACAAAGGTGTATAGCAAAGAGTCAAGTTTATTTTTGTGTCACTAAACCATGTCTCCCACCATACCAATTGTGTTATATTGTATTACACTTGTGTTACATTGTGTCATACTTAGACAAAATACTACACAAAAGTAGCAATGAAACAGGAAACATACCACAATTCCCAGGGCCTTCAAAATATTAAGTTTGCACATAGGACAGGTACAGTGTTCACTAAGCCAGGGATCCACACAAGACTTGTGAAAGACATGCCTATGAAATAATGGAGAATTATGTCATCAATTACTTACTGAAAACCTATTAGGTCAAAATGCAAAAAATGAAATTTTAAGTTGTTTTTCATTTTGGCATTTATTGGTAAATTACAAGAGACAAATGGGGGATTAAACTTGCAGATCTTCTGAATCCAATCTCACATATCGGTAACACTGTGGTAAGAACTGCTCAGTGGGATATGGTTGTTTAGACTTTATTTTTGAGGTGCTGGGGATGGAACCCAGTGCCTTGTGCACGTTAGGCAAGCACTCTGTTACAACTTATCTAAGTGCTCTACCTTAAAAAAAAAGACAGGGAGGGGCTCGTTATATTGCACAACTGTCCCCATACTGCTGGGCTCAAGGGATTCTCTTGCCTTAGCTGCTTGTGAAGCTGGGACTACAGAGATATCCACTGTGCTTGACTTGGGTGTTTTATTTTACCAAAAATCCAAAATGACTTGAGGAAACCTAAAAAACTTGTTAAGAATAAAGACAATTATATCTTGTAAGCTAACTGAGCTTTCTATAATAGTTAGTATAAAACATGGAACTTCAGGGCCGGCCAAACAGCTCAGCGGGTTAAAGTGCCTGTTTAGGCAGATGCAGGGGCTGGGGTTCAATCCCCAAGCCTGCTGTGCCGGCCCCGCCCCTGGGGTGTGCTGAGATGGCAAGAGAGCCTGTAGATCCTGTACTAAATACAAAAAAGGAAAAAAAAAAAGGAATTTCACTAAGATATTAAGTCACAGTTAAGAAAAGTTCTCCATATAATTACTGGTTTCAGAGAACTCAACCTATGTTTAATAACTGTAAAAGTCACAAGGCTGTTGGAATTGTTGAAAGGGATAAACTGACAGTTCCAAGAATCAATACCACTTAGCAATTTAAGCTGAAACTTTAAAGGGGCAGGTCTGGGTGATTTCTTCTCAATGCTGGGTAAGAGGCCACACCTTTGTGAGGGACACACTGCAGTCAAGGGGGAGCCTGCACGCTTAGGTCACAAACTTGCGCTCCTCATAAGGGAGCAGCAAGGGAGAGAAATTTCTCTCCAAGGCTGGGGATATAGCTTAGTGATATAGTGCCTGCTGGCAAGTATGAGGTCATGAGTTTGATTCCTAGTACAAAAAAAAAGTTGCTCTCTAAGCTCCAGCATCTCTGCACAAGAGTGAGTTGGGTTTGTCAGCAGCCCTAGAGCTCAGGCACATGGAAAGGGTGGGTGCCCAGACAGACTCGAAGGCAGGGGAGGTACTAGTCCAAGTAAAAGACATCTTGAGAAAGATGCCAACTAGGACGATGCCTTTAAAACCTTGACTGTTGCTCTTTCGGGTCCTCCTTTCAAAGATGACGAAAAATAGAAGGAACAACGGTCGTGCCAAAAAAGGCCACGGTCATGTGCAGCCTATTCGCTGCACGAACTGCGCCCGGTGCGTACCCGAGGATAAGGCTATTAAGAAGTTTATCATTCGGAACACAGTGGAGGCCGCCGCCGTCAGGGACATTTCCGAAGCGAGTGTCTTCGACGGTCATGTGCTTCCCAAGCTGTATGTGAAGCTGCATTATTGTGTGAGTTGTGCCATTCACAGCAAAGTGGTCAGAAATCGATCTCGTGAAGCCCGTTAGGACCGAACTCCTCCACCCCGATTTAGACCTGCTGGTGCTGCCCACGACCTCCACCAAAGCCCATGTAAGGGGAGCTGGGGCTTAATGGACTGAAGAAAACTCTTGAGAAAGAAATAATAAATTGAATGTTATACTTTATACAGCATGTTGAGTGTACCTGCCAGAGGTGGGTTGGGTTAATTCAGCCTATCCAAGTTTAAATTTGTACTCGGAAAATGAATAAAGAGGAACACACTGGAAGGGGTTTCAGGAGCATAAAAAACAAAACAAAAAAAACCCTTGACTGTTAATTTAACATGTTAATGTTTTTATTACTGGTTGAAAAATACAGTTTTGATTTTTAAAAAAAGGGGTTGAAAAAACTCACTCATTTCTTTGGGGATAAAAATAAAGACCTATCTTGAAAACTGAACTTACCAATCTAGCATACAACTTGCCTACAATGCATTTACCAGAACCACACCATTCTGGAAAGCTCTCAAGCCCTTGAGCCAGAGACAAGGCCCAATTTGGGACACTGAGGTGTCACCTCTGCTTCTTGTTGTTGGCACCTACCCGTGGGTGACTGGCCCCTTGATGCAGGGATGCCCTCAGCTTTACTTTGCAGCAGCAGTCGAACAGAATAAGGCTTACCCACCCACTCTGGGGTCACAGACCCCTTCCAGTCTAATATAAACAACAAGACCTTCCCGCAGAAGTCATCGTGGTACATCTTCTGATGTCTTCCATGCATTTTGGTGTGTGTGTGTGTTGCTGATAGACCTTTGATGGTTTTCCCAATGCCGGGAGGGCGTATGGGTCAGGTCTGTCACTGATGTGGGCGATGTGGGACTTGGCTGCATCATGGAAGAGATAACATCGTGCGACTTCTGACCAGGGTCACTGATGCTGGAGTGGAAGCACCTGATGCGCCTACGGCAATAACCCTGGTTTACTCAAGTCTAGAGGATGGCTCTGGCCAGTGTTTTTGCTTTTCTACCACTGGTTATTCTGAAATAACAAAATGGTGTTAACGCTCATGTTTAATTTCCTTTTTTCTTTTTATGTATCTGGTACAGGGTCTCACTACAAAGCTTGGATTTGTAGTGATCCTCTTATTTTCAGCCTCTCCAGCTCTGGGGTGCGCCACCATGCCCAGCAGCTGCTCATGTTTAATTTCTAGTAAATTTTTTTTTTTTTGTGGAACCAGGGATTGAACTCACGTCCTTGCACTTGCCAGGTAAGTGCTTATTCTACGGAGCCATGTCTTCAGCTCTTGCTCATGTTTAATTTCTAACACTGTATGAATATACATTCTCTATCTGTTCCTCTAACCCTGAGTTATAAATAGATTCTTCTTATGTTGGTGTTCTTAAGTAACTGCTTCATTTTGCGTCTGCTGATCTAGAAGAACAAGTGCCTTCCTCCCTGTCTCCCTGGACAATCACAGTCTTCTCTGTGCTGTCCAATACTGTGATGAAAGACAACAGAGACTATCGGGGTTCTTTAGAGACAAATTAGGAAAAACCTCCCTTCCTTGGCTAACTCAAAATCTAAAGGAACAACTTCTCCCAAAGAGAGTGTCCCTGAGGGAGGACAGGGAAGTGGAGTAGAAAGAATGACCCAGTGTTATGTACATGTACCAACTGACCATCATAACATAATTGTTACATACTACAAACATCCCTTGCTCCCATCAACTAACCCCCAGAGTGAAGTTAAGGTGTTACCCAGGGAGTGATTAGAGCACCCTGCCAATCTCATTAGGTGCCTTCTCACTAGCTAGGGGTGTACTGTGCATAGCACAGTGTGCCAGCAAAGTCGCAGAAAGAAGCCTGCTACACAGACACAGGGGCCGAGGTTCAATCTCAGGCTTGCCATGCCAGCCCTGCCCCCAGGGTGCACTGAGACAGCAAATGAGACTGGGCGTGGTAGTGTGCCTGGAAGGCTAAAAACAGGAGAATCACTAGAGTCCGATCTGTGTTGTGAGACCTTGTACTAAATACAAAGAAAAAAAGCAAGCAATCAAGCCCACACAAAAGCAGAAAGGGCCCACACACAAAGGGCTGCGTGACACACTGGGATAGAGGCAGCTCATGAGCTGAGGGACAGGGAACTGGGAAGAAAAGGTCAAGTGGATCAGAGCTTCACGCAGAACGCCCTTTACTCCTGTAAGAAACACTGTGGGATACAGACAACATGCAGAACAATGGAAGGAACAAAACTGGTAACGCCAAAGAGCAGCTCCTCTCCCTTCTATTCCTCACAGCTAGGGAGGTCAGAAAAATCGGACCCAGGTTGGCGAGCAGAAATCTGTATGGGGGAGGGGAGGATTTTCATAGCTCTGAAGCCTCTGGGTGCTACATCAAGGCCCTGGCAAACAAAAGGACCCAAGATTATTAAAGGTCAGTGACAAGAACGCCCTCCCCTTGCCTGGACTGGTGACAGAGGCAGTGGATGCCATCGTGTCCCAGAGGTGGGGGCAGCAGCTCTTCAGCCAGAGGGTGGCCAGGTACCTGACCCACTTCAGCTCCCAACGGGCACCTTAGACACTTGTTCATCCAAGCTGGGGCACTTACTTCTGAAAGGGTATTTTTACGTACTAAAATTTTTGAGGCTAACCTTTAAGTAAGATGATTACTGTTCAGTTTCTAAGACATGTTGATGGACACCCAAAGAACGATCAGCTGCAATCCACTGACATAAGCAGGAGGTCCCCACAACAATGCCAACAGCCATTTGTCCACAATAAATTAGTGTGACAGAGGGGAAAAGCAAAGGTCATGCAATAAAGTCTGCAACCCATGGGAGGCTTGGTATATACAGACAGAAAGGCTTAGTTCAGGCCCCTGGCCAGCATGGTAGAGTCGAAGGACAGATGGACACCAGCATGTCGATATCCATACCCTGCAGCAAGCCGAGGAAGAGGGCAGACTGCAGGGCGGGGCGGGGCAGGTGATGGCGTATAAGTTTTAAAAACTGGAAAAGGAAATGCTTGAGCCTGACTCATTGCTGATGAGCAGGGACAAAAAGCAACACTGGAAGGAGCAGTGAATAGAACAAGTGCCCAGGGCGGAAAGAGTGGGCAGAGACCCACAGAAAAAGCACAGCACCACAACACACAGCAAGGACAGTGCCTCTGTCCTCACGGGGGTGCATGGTGGGCAGGAAAGCAGTCATACCTGAGGCCCAGGGATGGAGGCCAGGGCAGGAAGGCTTGGGCAGCACTAGAGGCCCAGACTGGCCAACCAGTTTGGAGCCCCGTGAGGAGACACTGAGGGGTGCTGCTACTTAGGTATGGGAACTGCAGAAGCTGTGGGAGACAGCAGCGGACCAAAGGGGAAGGAGGGTACCAGGCGACAGCAGGGGTGAGGGTTAAGGCAAAGGTACTGGTGAGTCATTCACCAGAAAAAACAAGCCTGGAGCTATGAGGAAGGAACTTCTAGGTGTGAAAGTCCTCCAGTGAGCCTGTGGTGTCCCCCAGGCCCGTGCGCTTCACCTCTGGAGGTGTGGGGCGTCTTTTGTGTGCTGTGGGTGCTTCTGGCACCCAGTGGGCAGAGGCCAATGGTACTGACAAATACCCTGCGCATAGGACAGCTCCTCTCACTCGTTCTCCCCAGAGAATGACCTGATTTCGAATCTCAGCAGTGCTAAGGCTGAGACCTTTGGTGCAGGACAGAACTGTCACAAAATGCTATTCCGTGTGGAAAGTTAATTTTTACTGCCCCCGATGTTTTACTAAGCAGGGTAAGTGGTGGTTTAGAGAGCTGCGACCTGCTGAGACGCTGCTGCTGGCAGTGGTTGAGCTGCGCTGGGTGAGCCCAGCGGGGCCCTGAGGCCAAGTACTAGGCATTTCTTGGGGTCCTGTGGGGCTTCTTCCGTAGTTCTTGAAGAGGGTGGTTAGAAAAGGAGCAAGTGTGGCCTGCCTGGCCTCTTTCTGTTCTGTTCGGGATGTGACCACTTTGCTTTCATGGGTCACCACTGTGATGTGACATCTGCTGCCCTCTCCAGAGGTCAGCCCTGCCTGGCCCTGTACTTTGCACCTCACACACTGTGAGCAAAGCAGACTCATTTCTCGCCCTAAGTAGCCCACCACAATACTCTGTTAAGGGACAGCTCACTAGCACAAGTGGGAGGGAAGCACCCTCCAGCCAGGATGCAGGGTATACACAGCAGGGATCAGGAAAAGGCTCACTCAAGTCCCTACAGCTATGGTACCCACAGCCTGGTCACACTACAGAGGTCACAGAGAGGGCCCAGTGACAAACTGAAGAAGAGGAGCAGGAGACCACAGTAACCCTAGAATAAGACTCAAAATTACAAGCATCTAACAATTGGGTCACGTGAGCTTCTCAGCATGTGTACACTCAGTTCCTGTGAGGCTGCACTGGTTACCTGTGACCACGACCTCCCACGGTAAGCCACGTGCAGTGGCTCTGAGGACAGCTCTGAGGAGCAAGTGGACACCTACTCTGACAGGAGACATACAACACATAGTCACGTCATTCTTTTCAAAAAAGAAAGCTGACATACTTGCAGGGGAGAATTCGAACAACATCGTTCTGTTTATAGCTCTCTATGCAGACTGCACAGTGATCGAAGTCTGGGTCTGTTTCCTGAAAAGAAGAGCACAGGAGCACAGTTACACACTACACCTGCACACGCGGAGGAGACAGTGCAGCCAGGAATACTCCTGTGCAGCTTTAAGCTTAATAAGCTTTCATTTGCTTAACTATATTGACCCAAAGTACATCTAAGCCACTCTACTTTGTCTTGAAATTATGTTACCAATGATAATTCCGTTTAGGAGATGTCTTGGAATTTTCGCAGCACAGTTCCACTTTTTTCCAAGAGTCATACTAGCTCTCGCCCTGGAGCACGGCAGTTCCTGCCCTCCACTCCCGCTGTGCTGCGGGCTGTGTGAGTAACTTCACTGCAGACCCTACGCAGCCCGCCCTCATCAGGAGGCACATGCGTGAGGCTGAGGCCTCGCAGCTGCTGAGCAGACCACCCCAGGAGAAGTCAGTCAGGTATTTGGCTACCAGGTTAATTAATTTTCTCCTCCTGAGCTGAGGGAGTTTTAACAAAGTTGCCATTAAATACAGCATGTTAGCAAATTAGGTGGGAAAGGTGAGACTGTTTGCTGTGTCACTGCCACTTGGAACGAGACTATATGGGACACCACTTGGCAGGCCTAGGGGTGCAAACTAAGAAGATGAGTTGGCTTCAATAATTAAAGGAAGATTGAACCGCGGTCCCTGATGCTTTGCCAAGCTTGTTCTAAGTAGGTGCCTTAGACCACTGAGCCATCTCTCCAGCCCCATGCCAGCCAGCCCCGCCCCCTGGTGGGCTGAGCTGGCCACACACACACACCACTCTCTCTCTCTCTCTCTCTCTCAAATAAATAAAAATAAAAAAAAAATAAAAAAAATAAAAAAAAATAATTAAAGGAAGGATTATTTTGTGCTAGCCTGGGGGACAAAGGAAGATAGGCTAGATAGCTTAGGGAAGTTCAAGTTGCAGCAATGGCAGGCCATGGAAATGCTTATTTATACTGGGTATCATTCCTCTGGAGAGAAGTGTGGCTGTGTTAATGCTGCTTGTATTTCCTTTTCCTTTTGTTAGTGTACTAAGAAGTGAGAAAGTCTACTTCTGGAGCTGTATCAAGGACAGCCAGATATAGCGGCTTCAAAGCAAAGGGAATAAAAAGGGGTCAAGTCCAAAAACGCGGGAAAATGTAGGGAACGGAGAATCTTCTGAAATCACCCTTCCAGCACTCTTTGCTAACAGGTCAGCAATGTGTATGGGGAATGAGGCAGATTTTGATGCAAACTTGTCATGCTGGTGGCTCTCACGTCTGCTGAGTGTGGGGTTGATTTATATTGAAGTCATTTATGCTTACAGAGATGCTTTGGCAGAACTAGAGCTCTGACTGGGGAACGCTGGGTGAAAGTCTTGGCCACAGCCTTTGGTCACTGCCTCTCAGGCCTGATGCCCAAGCATCAGGCTGACCCTGATACACTGCTCCTCTTTCTCCAAACCACTTAGCCTACTGTAACCGACACACTCTAGAAACGTAGGTCTTCAGTTCTCCGTTTATCTGGTGAAGAACCAAACCCCATACAGATTCAAAAACATAAGAAATATGAAGACAGTACACGACTCCTAGCTATGTACAAAGTAGAATTCTTGGAAGATGTATGCTAGGTTTCAGTGGAAGACAGCAGTAGAAAACCACAGCTTGAGTAACAGGCAGGTCTTGACACTTCTAGTGCTAAGTACATCAGAAGGTGAGCAAAGCTAGGGGCTAGCTGAGGGGCTTTCAGATGACAAGTAGGGTAAGAGCAAGACTTCTAAGAGAAGGTAAAGTTAGTCATCACTGTACCTTATCACCTTTTTTTACTGTTCTGGTTGTCAATTTACTGATGGCTTTCTTGGCTGCATCTCCAAGGCGACGCTATGGAAATGGAAAATAAAAACAAGCATTAAGTGTTAAGACCTATGAATCACAGTCTTCATTTTTAAATAAAGTATAAAGTCTCTAATTTCCTGTATCACTCTGTCACATCGTAAGAGGATTCTAAAAACAATTAGAAAAACTGGCAGTCGTATCATTTATTCAACATTTTTGCTGAATAATAAGTATATGCAGCCAGGCATGGTGGTACTCACCTATAACCCCAGCAGGGGAGGCATGACGATTGTTTTGCGTTCAAGGCCATCCTGGGTTACAAAGTGAGTTCAAGACCATTCTGAGTTGTACAGTGAAACCCTGTCTCAAAAGACCAAAAGCCACCCCAAACCAAAAAACCAACCAAACAGTGAATGTGCATTGGTTGGAAAAGGCAGGTATCATCACCGCCATTCTGCAGTTCACATGAATAAGCGTGTAATGCGTGCAGTACTGCTACAGCCTGCTTCTGTGCTACCCTTCCCTGCTCTACTGGCCTTCCGACTGTGTTTCAGGGACAATCCCTCTTAGGGATGCAAACTGCCTCTGTCATCATGAAATTCTTTAGCTGTTCTTTGTCATGGAAGTATTCACTTCTTTATCAAACCTGAAAGAGAGTTTTGCAGGGTATAGTAGTCTGGGCTGGAATTTGTTTTCATAGAGGACCTGAAGTACTCTGCTCCATGCTCTTCTTGCCTGCATGGTTTGTGAAGAGAAGTCTGCCGTTATTTTGATGGGGTTTCCTTTAAATATGATCTGTTTCTTTTCTCTAGCGGCTTGACTATTACATGTCTCTAGCGGGATCTTGACTATTACATGTCTCGGTGTGTTTTTAATTGGGTTGATGTTCTTTGGAGTTCTGTATGCTTCTGTTAATGTCAGACTGTTTCCCCATATTTGGGAAGTTTTCTGCTATCATTTTTGCCCATATTCTTTTTATATCATTTGTATTGACTCTTTCTTTCTCATTGATTGTAAACTGTCTTAGCAAAAACAATCCAATGCTCCCCAGGTCCTTCTTAGGGCCAAGCTAACATTTAAAATAAAATTCTTATTCCATAAGAGATGGTGTTGCACACCTGTAATCCCAGCACTTAGGAGGCTGATGCAGAAGGATCACTGCCAGTTTGAGACCAGCCTGGGCTGCAAAGTGAGCTCAAGGCCAGCCTGAACGGCACAGCGAGACCCTGTTTCAAGAAAAAACCAAAACAAAAACAGAACACCAACATTTTGCCAGACACTGCTATGCCACAATCCAGAGGTGAAACAACAGTGAAAGAAGTTTTCTGAACTGGGGTAAGACCAGTAAACATATTTTAATTTAATTTAGAAGAAACCCACCCTGGGCAGGGTGGCAGGAAAAGGACAGCAGGGGAGGCAGATGGCAGCGGGATGTCACCAAGTTTTTCCAGAAGTTATACAGGAGCCAACACTCTGACAACGAGGAGGAAGGAATTTGGCACAGAACAGCACAGGGTTAGGAGCAGGACTCTACACAAGGAGCTGAGGGAAAACAACTCTCGGCTGAGCATCCCTTTTATGACAAGTCAGAGTCTATGTTGGGATGGCAGCTTCAAACTAAGACTGTCCTAGGCACAAAGGGGCGAAAGGTCACTCTTGTCATAACTGGATCTTAAACTCTGAGCAGAGGCAGGTGCTGAAGCTGGAGGAGGAAGACTCCTAAAACAAGGGAGGTCTTACATTTTATGAGAAAGACTTTTTATTTAAAATACACAGGAGTAATTTAATGAACAACCATGTACCTACATCCAAATTCAGTGATCCATATATTCTATTTCTCGTTGGTTCTCCTCTTCATTGTGTTAGAGGATTCACTAATAAGCATCATATATTTCACTCAGTCTTCATCATGGATCTCTGACAGGAGCTTTGGTTTGAGGCTGTCGCTTATCTAACACAACTTAACAGTGACTCAGCATTGTCTCTTATTCCGATGACACAATTTCCCTACCTGTCTACAGAATGTCCTATCTTTTTTCCTTCTTCACTCTCTCTTTCTCTCTGGGCCTTCACACTGAGCTATACTCCTACATCCTTTCAAAGATACTTTATTTTGAAACATGGTCTTACCAACCTGCTAAGTTGCCCAGGCTGGGCTCAATCTTGAGATCTTCCTGGTTCAGCCTCACCAAGTGCGAGGTTTACAGATGTGTGCAACCATGCCTGGCTTCAGAATGTCTTTCAGCAACTGGTTTCTTTGAATCAAGAACATTGCTATTTGGGTTCTATGTCTCTCAAGCCTCTTTTAATCAGTGAATCCTATCTATTGTTCTTTTAAAATAGCTTTATAGAGATATAACAGGCTTAAGTTGCATATATGTAAATGGAACACTCTGATGTACAAATACCCTGAAGTCTACACTTTTATCATGTACTTGGTTAGTGGCATCTTCTAAATTTTAATTTTCATTTAAATGGTTATCTAATTTCCCTTTTAATTTCTTCTGTATTGTGAGTTATTTAGAAGTTAATTTCCAAATGTTTGGAGGTTTTCCAGAAAGCCTTTTGTCACTGATTTGCTATTAAATTTTAAGTTGCCTGAGAACTCACATTGCAGGAACTTAAATCTTTTTAAGTTTATTGAGACTTGGCTTATGGTCTAGAACACACTTCAAAAAAATGTTTTTATTGAATGGAGTTTTCTACAAATGTCAAGCAGGTCAAATTAGTTGAGACTATGCTGTTCTAGTGTTATGTACTTATTGATTTTATTTATTTTTGTCTACAAATTCTTCCAATTAATAACTGTGGTACTAAAATCTCTGAGTGTTACTGTGGGCCTGTTTTTTTTTTTTTTTCTTTTTCTTTTACTATAGTTTTATCAGTTCTCACCTTATGTTTCTAAACCACTGTTACTGAGTTGCATGCACATTTAGGATTGTAACACCCTCTTGACTAAGTGGCATTTATTGATTGATTGATTGCAGTGCCAGGGATTGAACTCAGAACCTGTGCCTGCGCTTATTCTACTGCGCTATCGCCCTGAGCCCAAAATGGCCATTTTATTAAGAAATGATTTTTATCCCTGACAGCAGCCCTGCTGTCAAAACTACTCTGGTATTCATGTAGTCACATGAATTTTATTTTGTGTTAGCATGATATAGCTTTTCCTTCTATATTTTTAACCATCTATTTTTTCTTTTTCTTTTTGCTGTGCTGGGTATAGAGTTCAGGCCCTCAAATATACTACAAAGTATTCTATCGCTGAGCTATGAGCATAGTCCTTTTATCTCTGCTCTCAATTTCTGTTTCCAGTAGGGGTGCTCAGACTATATACAGCAGTAGTTAGTGATATGGTTACATTTAAATCTATCTGTTTGGTGTCTCTTCTTCTATTCTACATGTTAATTTTTCCCTTGGTCCTGTTTTGGGCTGAGAAGTCTTAGTGGCTCCATTTATCTCTTTGGTTGGCATCATTATGACTTTTATTATTTTAGTGGCTGCTTCAGGAATAATGCATTCATTTTCACTCACAGCTGGAGTCCGACCAATGGTGCTGTATGCTGTAGTATAAGGACTACCCAGAGTCCTGGATTTCTTCCCTTTTGGCCTCTGTGCTACTTTGTCATCCATTTTGCTTTTGCATATTCTACAAACCCTACAATACCTTGTTATCATATTTTCTATTAGTTTTTGAGACAGGGTCTGATTAAATTCAGGTTGGCCTTTAATTATGTTGCCTCGGCTGGCTTCAAATTTGTAATCCTCTTGCCTTAGTCTCCCAAGTGCTGGGATTATGGCATGTGCCAACAACAACAACAACAAAAAAAACCCCTTTCTTAAACTTGTTCACTGGACAGTTCACTCTCCATTTTTCTTTCCTTTAGCCCCTGGCAACTACCATTCTACTTTCTGTCAATGATTTTGATTATTCTGTTAAATAAAAGAGGAAGCATAAAAGTATGTTTTTGTGGCTGATGCCTTTTGCTTTGCGGTAGATCTTCAAGGTTTCTCCATGCGGATGCCTCAAAATACCCTTCTGTGTAAGGTCCTGAGTAATACGGCACTGGCTACTAGTCTGCTTAGCCACTCATCCGTAGATGGACACAGACTGCTTTCAATTTCTGGTTATTGCATTCATTGTACTTGGCTTTTTATGAGGGGAGGGATACCAGGAATCATACTTAGGACCTCATGCTTGCCAGGCAGGTACTGCACCCCTGAGCTAAATCCCCAGCCCCTGGCTACCACAGTGATGCTGCTATGAATCGGTGTTCACAGGATCTGGTTGAGTCTCTGCTCTCAATTCTTTTGGGTATGAACCCAGGGTGGAATGGCTTAAATTAATATTTAATATTCTGAAAGACTGCTGTGCCATTTCCCGATGGACACATCTGACAAATCTATCTGGGCTCTGATTCATCACAGCCACCCCAGAAGTCACTACAGTTTCCACATCCACTTCCTTAGTGATTAATAATGCTGAGCATCTTTTCAAGTGTTCACGGGCCATCAGTATGCCTTTTTTTGTATTTAGTACAGGGTCTACAGGGTCTTACTACATAGGTCGGGCTTGTAGCAATCCTCCTGTTTTCAGCCTGCCAAGTGCTGGGATTACAGGTGTGCACCACCATGCCCAGTCTCATTCACCATCTCAGTGTGCCCCGGAGTGGGCTGGCATGGCAGGCCAGGAATCAAAATCGTGGCCCCTGCATCTGCCTAAGCAGGTGCTTTAATCTGCTGAACCATCGGCCAGCCCTTGTATGCCTTCTTTAGAGAAATATCTAATTTTTTTTTTTTGAACCGGGGATTGAACTCAGATCCTTGCGTTTGCCAGTCAAGTGCTTATCCTACTGAGCTATCTCCCCGGCCCCTAGTCTGTTTCTTTTTTTTTTTCTTTTCAAAGTTTTATTGATAAACATATAGCAATCCTAGTCTGTTTCTTAATTAGGTTTTTTTTTTTTTTTGGCTGTTACTGAATTGTAGGAGTTTATAAATTATAGATAGTAACTCCTCGTAAGATAATTGATTTACAAAATATTTTT